ACAGTCCCTTAACCAAAGAGCTCTGATGCCACTCTGATGGGGAAAGGGCCAAAAAATATAACAACTTAGAAAAAGTAATAACGCGGCGGAAATTCAATCCCCCTTCTTGCGAGAATCTGTGAGGAGCACCAAACAAATAGAACAAAAATAGAATCCAAAGCACAAAGAGACACCAATAATTTTTAACTTGGAAAACCCCTCAATGCAAGGGTAAAAACCACGAGTCGTCCAAACTAAAGAAAAATTCACTATGATCAATAATAGGGTACAAAAGAGTCTCCAATAATAACACCAAATGTTGTGTTCAATAAGCTAATTTAAATAAGCATAAATGCTTACAAATGAGAACAAAGAAGATGAAAATTCTCCAAAACAGGGATGCTGGTGCGGGACCGATTTCTCCCAATCTAGACCTCCGATTGACGATCCGAACGGTCAGAATGAAGAACCTTATGGCTGGAACCTACTGTCCAAAAATCAGCTTGATCCAATGGTGAACGACTTCACAGCGATCAAAGCACCATTGCAGGTTTAGGGTTATGCAGGAATAACTTTCTCTCTTTCTTTTTCTCTCACTTGGCTTTTGTCTCTCTTCAAATTACTCTAATGTGCCCAACTAATCTGACCCATCTCAGTTTAACCTAGTGAGACCTAATGGTCCATATTATTTAAGCATATTCTTCACATAGAAAGGAAGCCTAATAATCCAACAAAATTTTCCATCTTATTAGTCTGTTTGAATAAATAACTCTTTCAGGAACATATCATTCACATGCACAATTATCATGAAACTAATTTTGACTATTTAATTAACACTTAAGTAAAAATCTAACCTTAACAAAAGTGAAGAATATTATCTACCCACTTATATGAGTTAGTTCTCTTTACCTAGAGGTAGTTTACTTTAAAATAAAAAACAACTCTCACGCCTAAAGGCTTTCAAAATAGCATAAATAAATTTTTAAATACTCATAAACAAAGTTTCTAAACTTAAACAAATTTACACCTCTATAGTACATATCACTAAAATTTCTTATTTTCTTATTTGATTCTGACATATAGAGTATAAATTTAGGAAAATGAGAATAAGAAAAATGAGAAACTTAAATAGATAAAGATTTTGATTGATATATATGATTTAATTAGAAAATCCAAAATTTTAGAGAGAGAAAAGAAAAATAAACTGTTTTAAACCGATTTACAATTTTTTTATAAAATATTTTAATTTTTCATTTAATTTTAATTATATTATCTAGATGTTACGAAAATAAATATACAAATTATGGTATGCAGTATTTCTTCACAGCAAATAGTACTATGAAGATTGATAAACATAAAAAAAAAATGGTACTGTGTAAATTTACAAGCTGTTGTATTTCTACTACAGGTCTTAACTAATCATCTTATAAGTAACATACTTCATAAATATTTCAATATAAAAATATTTTATACACTGAATACATTAAAAATGCATCCTTTTAAAACCAAAGTTTTATATGTACTACGAAGACCACCTATGTTTTGTATTTGCTTGCAACATCAATTCATCTTATCCGAAACCATTTTGATTCGACCCCACGAGCGTGCATGCGACGTCGTTTCAGCTGAGGAAGTGAATCGAGTATCAATAAGAAAATATCATTTCCATCTCTCACAGAAAGAACTGCGATTTGTTCAGGCAAAAAGAATGGCTTTTTCTGCATCCCTTCTGCAATTCAGTTGCGTCTCTCTTCTCCACAGTAATCTGAATAATCCTTCTTCGTTACCTTTCTCTGGGTTCCCCAAATCCCTCTTTGGTTGTGATGTCTCCCTCAAACTCAAAGGGAGTTCAGTGTGTGGGAGAAGAAGATTGAGAGGTGAGAGTGTCAGTGTTCGTGTGAGTGCTTCATTGGTGGAGGCTCCAGTTTTGTGGTTTGGAAGAATATGCATCTTCTATGCCCTTCTTAAAGCTGGCTTGGCTGGATCTCAAGCCAATCCACTTGTCTCAGGTGCCAAACCAAATTAATTGATTAAGTACATTGTTTTCATCCGGAATTTGGAAAAAGGCTTCATTTTTATGTGTTGGGTGTCTGTTTCTTTCATTCAGATTTGGAAATTGGGGAGCGTAATGAATCTGAAGTTCCTTCTGGTGCTGCGGACTTGGGTTTCTCTAAATGGGCCCACACCATACTAGGAAAACCAGGTCTGTCCAATTCATGTCTGATGCACTTGCTGCTCCTGATCACTTAGTGGTGATAGCTTCTCATTCAAGTGGAATGTTTGTAAAGGATTTAAGCTGGTTTGATTGTGCTGTGTGTTAACATATGGGGTGAGTTGATCAGTGAGTTGAAGGCTATTCTGATTTAGTGATGATTGTTTAATGGGAATGATTGTGGTTTGAATAGTTTTGGAAGGTAGTATAGGACCCCGTTTGGGTTATTGGATGGTATTATATCTAGGAGCGTTTTGGAGACTTGGTAGGAGGTCATTACTTGGTTTATACTACTTCTTTTGGGGAGTTCAGGGTATCTTATCTCTCTTCCAAGAGTCAAAGACTAATCTCTCAAGGTTAACTGAGACCTATTTAAGAGACTAACATCACTTAACAAATCTTCTTTCGTACACAGATCTGAAGATCAAACATTGACCACATTTATGGTTATCTATCAAACATGTCACACCATGTTGGTGGGTGTTGAGTTGTATAAAACTTGATGCAGTGTTTTGCAGACCAGTGAAATGGGCAACTGAGGAGAAAGGAAGAGCACTCAGAACGATTTCGTATGCTTAAGACATGTGCTCACTAGAAGCAAAGGGTTAAGGATGTTTCCAATGTTTTGTTATTCCCTCAGTCAGTCACTGATGGGGAAGCAAGAGAGATAAGGAAGCTTGATTTGGCCATACATCGGTCCTCGTTCCTTTGGAAAAGTCCCAAGTTGATAGATATCCATATGACCTTCACTATAAAGTTGTTTTCTACCCTTTCTAGTATAAGGGGTATTAGTCTTAATTTCAAATGAGATAGGTTAAATTGGTTTAATATTTATGGTCTTTGCTGACTTGTTACTAATTTACTGGTACTTGTAACATGTTTAAGCTTGAGGGGGGAGTTGGTTGGTTGTTAAAACATTTCAGGGTTTTTGGTCTTATTGTTAGTGGCTTTGGGCTTGTACTAGTAATTCAAGTCCTTAACCTAAATAACTGCATAAATAGTACTACTGGATTAGAAATATTCCAACACCTGTCACCAAGCCTATTATATCTTGTGTGGTATTGTTAGTTGCCTTGTTTTTCAAATAAGATCATGTTAAACATCACTATAAATTTTGACATCTCAGTTATGTTGACACCTCAAAGTCCATCAATCATAGTTGTCTTGCTTTCATTTTCCCTTTCTCTATATCTGTAATTCTCCACACTTTGCTTGCAAAGCCAATGTGTTTCCTTATCTTTGTCTCCTCTCTTATTATTGATGATGTTGTTTCAAAGTACATGTGTTCAGTTATGTGTATTTGTATATGATCAGCAAAGGAAGCTGCTAATGGAAGGAAATTGGTTAGCAAATGGCATCCTACCACAAAGGGTACACTTAGAAGGAACTATAGAGTTCCATCCAAGTCCGAAGGGCGACGAGTTCTTAAAGCTATTGCATCTCTATTATCAGATGATGACCACTTTGTTGATGCCACTTCTCACAAGGTCTTAATTAATTTTCATCAACCCTTTTCTCTTTTCATATGTTGTATTTTTTCCATCATTTGATGTAAGACATGCTTAACTTACATGTTGGTGACGAACAACCATTATAGGGTTGCCAAATCCGAAGGGAAAGTGCACATGGAGAAAGTGTGTGTTGCAACAATGTGAGAGCTCTTTTTGATGAGCTTCCAACTCCACATATCATTGTGGAAATCACCCCTTTTCCTGCTGGACCCCTTACTGACAAGGATTATATTAAAGCTGAGAAACTTGAGAAGACTCTGAGATCTAGTCCTTCTGTGTAATGTGTCTAAGGTGTTCATGTTTTCATGTACATATACTTGCTAGCTTGTAAATACAGACATGATAAACAAAAATTTCTATGCTTTTGAACTCTTCAACATCTTATTTTGAAGTGCATGATAGTAACAAATCAGAGCATGAGTATTTATTTTCACAAGGCACCAGTTATTTCAGTGTCTTCAGTTATCCTTCAACTAGCCTGTCTTCAGTTTTTTCTACCTTTTTCTTTTTCTTTTGGTAATATATTTTTTCCCACTTTTCAGTTCTTTCAATCAGCATAACAGAACAATCATTATGTCAATTTATTGAAGTTCATTACAGTCAAACTTATTTTTAAATTTGTTAATAAAATATATCTATTCCTGCTGCATTAATTTAAAGTATCAGTTCTGGAGATGTGAGAAGGGTGAACCTTATCTTGTTGCTGTAGAAATGCAGCTTGTTAAACTGCTTGGATTAGTTTTTCTATAACAAATTGATAGTTTATTGTGTATATATTGATGATTAACATGTCTATTTCATAACACCTTATAATCAATTTAAAACTCTATTATAAATGATGTAATTTGGAATATAGTTCCATTCAATTTATAGAATTTGGAGAATGGTTCTGAATCAAGTAATTTGAAATATAATTTAGAATATAGTTTTAGATTACGAAATTTAGATTGTGATTCTGGATTAAAATTATATTTTAGATTACATATTACAAACCATTTTATAATTTAGAACTAATGCTATCAAAATGGGTTGGAACATGTGAGTCAATCCGGTTTACCATGGGTTTGGATCGGATTAGGTTAAAAAAAAATTAAAATTTTGATACGGATCAATTTTGAATCCGGTTCATTGAGAATTTACCCAGGTTGAATCCGTGATGAGTCAGGTTAGCTTACAAACCTACTTAATTTTTGTAATAAGTATTTTTTGTCGGATTAATCATTTTATAAAATATTGAAATGGAGGTTGGATGAAATTATTTTTATATGGAATAATTAAACATGAAAAATCCACAAATCTATAATTAGTAATTTAATTTTTATTAAAAAACAAATTTGAATGGCTATGAAGTTATTAAAAAACAAGTGAGTCATTAATAAGTGAGATATATTAGATTGACTTACCAAGTAATCAACCTGTGATGGGTCGGACCGAATGAGCTATTTCCAATTATGTAATCTAAAATAAAAAACATCATTCAGATTATGTAACACTAGCAGCTGTCTCCCATGATCCATCCACCAACCGTAGAAATTGTAGAGAAATGGAATTATTGCCAAACTCTGATGCTTCTTGACAACATTTTGTCCATATATAATGAAAAGAGGTTTTTGTAAGAAAATGTGGTTGAGATATATAATAGAAACAGATATATGGTGTTACTAATCAAATTTTTATTGAAAGTAATGCACCATGTTTGTCATAAATTGAAAACTTATAGTTTTGAAAGTAAGTTGATTACGCTACAATTTTCCAAAACATAAATTTATTGAGATATATAACAAGATAATTTGTTGCATATCTCAACATGATTTGAATAGATACATAGTAAACATATTTTTGTGGTATATTTGGATTAGATAATTTAAATATATAGTAAAAAATATTTTGGTTGTCTATATATAACTAGTTTTCAAACCAACACTCCCACAATTCTATTTCTACTCTATTTTTCATCAATCAAAATAACCAATATTTTCATTCTACTTGTCATGTTTTTCCTTTTTTTTTCCTTACCTACCTATTTCCATTCCCATTTTTTCTCCTCTTTCCTCAAAACACTTTAAAGATTATATACTTTTAATTTTTATAAAAAATGAAGGAGTTTGGAATGTTATTCTTATAATTTTATTAATTAATTTCATGTTGAAAAGCATAAATTCATTGTTTTTTTATATATATTATCGTGCAACATTAATTAACTGCATATATGTTAAACAAAACAAATTACTTAATCATGGGAAATCACTAGCGTACTTGTCTAAAAAAGGTAAAAAATAAAAAACCTAGAACGGAAGTTATTTATTTATCAATGAATGTTAGAGCCTAAAAATAATGATTTTAGAGTTTGAAGTGATAGAAACTAAAGACTTTTTCTATAAAAACTAAACTAAACTAAAAAAATTACTTTAAATTTTATAAAAATGGAAAACTAAATTAAAGACATTTAATTCTGATTGTAAATATTAATGTTAAATAATTAGAATTATAGTTTTTACTAAAATATTTATTATATAAAAAAAACACAAATCGGGGTTTTCTCTGTTCTCTATTAAAAAATAATATCAATGATTATTGTTCAATCATTAAATAAAGTTGCTCACTTTCATTCTATACCTATCTACATCTGCAATCTCAACCTTAGTTTACATTAATTATTACTCATAAAACAAAAGGTCAAAAAACAAAAAATTAATCTCAGTTTCATTATTCTTAGATAAATGGTTCTCATTATTCCAAAGAAACAGTCACAGACAGAGATGACGTGGTCCATCCAAGACTTAAGGTATGAAGTTTTTATCACTTGTGAATTTTCAGTCCTGGGACCAGAAATCATCCTCATGCCATGGTCTACAATCTATGACAAATTCTAAACCACAACTAAGACAGAAAATCAAAATGCTGAAAAGATAAGCTATCGTCTATACCTTAAAATGATTTGGTTTCCCTGCATCTTTGTCCTCAGACTTAAATTATACACTACAAGCAACGTGCTTCTCGTAACTTATATAGAATTCTACACAAAATGAAGCAAGGCCGTTCATGATAGATATAAGCGAGGCAGTGGCACAAGGGGGTGAAAGATCATCTTTTGAATGCTTTAAATATCAGTGGTGGTGATGAACTGAAACATGGTCAAAGTCTGAGGCAGCAAAAGTGCATTTATTCATGACCCCCCATCATTTCTGAGCAGTTTTTTTCTGGCAGCAGTAGATTTGTACTCTTACAATTCAAAACAAAACTGCTGCTTCTGGGTCCTTCTGCAGTTATACAGGTGAGGAATATCTGCCTATGCTCACATTACATTCTAAATCTTCTGTTTAAGAACATGGCGCAACTGAACCTTCTGGCTTTCCATCCTAGCCTCCAAAAGTCTGGCTTTCAAACTACTCTTCTGCACAGTGCGAGGAATGCACCCTTTCATGCCTCGATTTTGCAGATTTGCTGACTCGGGAGAACTGAACTGGATCAGAAGTTCTTGGGGGCTTAATCCACCTTTGTCAAGTCCCCAATCAGGAGACATTACGCCTCCGTTAGATACCCTTCCATTTGAAAGCCTTCCATTCATTCCTTCCACAGAAATTATCTTGTAATTATCCCCACTGTTTGGACCAGACCTCCAAAGCCTTGCAATGGAGGATACCTTCTTGGATTGCTTAGCTGGTACTGAAGACACTTCACTAATTTCAGTTATTGGGGTCTCTACACCAGCATTGTCTTCCCATTCAAGCACACTCCTCCCTGAGGCATTACTTTCTCGAAGATTCTTTGTCACTGACAGGGTACTCCCTTCAGGTGAACAACTTGATCCTTGATCCTCAACATGGCTCACCGTTTCCCATCCACTTTCATCTTCCTCAATATCGCCATTGTCATCAATAAATAAATTAGAACATCTTTGAAAGTTATCCTTACTAATCAAGTTGCCTTCAGGACTCACTGTGTGAATCTTTGACGCATGACTTACTGGAGAGTAAGCAACACATGATTCAATATCCTTCTCGTTGGGTTCAACGAAATTTAAATCTTCAAAAATGGAAAAAATATCATCTGGATTAGCTGGCTCATACGAAAATTCCTTGATGTCTTGAATGTCTACAGCAGCTGCAGCCTGTTGAAGTGACCGTGCCTCTTTCATATCCTTTGCATTTGGGTTCACATTCATTGATTTGACAAAGGTTTCCAAATCAGCAATCAATTTATTCATCTGTGAGTACTTTTCATCAAGTGCAACTTTGGCATCAATCAATTTCATATGAACACGCTCTTCACGCCATACTTCAGCCATCTGCAACATCTTCCTCTCCTCTTCCACTTCTTCCCTAAGTTTCATAGATTCCCTCTTCAGTGCTTCAATTTCAGCCTTATCTTCTCCAATTTCCTTAGCAAGCTCATCACAAATTTCCTCAATTAATTCTCTGGCCTTCCTTTCCTTTTCATAATCCTGTATGTAGCGTTTTGCTAATAACTTGGTATCAGCTAACTCATTAACCAGCCTGGAATTGACAATTTCAATCCTCTGGCGGCTTTTCCTTTCTCGACTCAACTCTGATTTAATGTCATCAACATAAGCACGAATTTTCTCATGCTCTTTGCTTCGCCATGAGGCCCTCTCTTCACCCAATTTCTTCAAGAAATGTTCAAGTTTCTTTTTGGAGGAGTGGCGCTCAGTCTCAAGCTCCTGAATCTGTGCACGAGCCTGCTCTATTTCAGCTTCAAGAGCAGATACAGCAGAAGCAGTATTAACCTTTTGGTCAAGAAGTTTCATTTGACTGTAGATATTTTGCACCTCATCTGATGTTTTTAAACAAACAGGATCCCACTTTGTTGCACCCTCCATTGCAGTACTTGAAAACTGGAAAGGCGGCTTGAGCTGAAGAAGAAAATAGAAAGCTTAGAGATGTAATTGTTTATTCTTTCACTTGGGGAAAGTAAAAGTGAGACACTTTTAAACTCTTTCCTCAATCAGAGAAGCTTCCTATCACGGCTGATATTTTTAATGATACTTTCACTACTCTGGTTTGTCCAACAATATGCATAAGTTTTGTTCATGCATGTTTACAAAGAAAATTACATATATACACAGTATAGATCTAATCAACACTTGATCTCATGTATAAATCTCTACTATCAATAGATCTATCTTCTATATCATATCGGTTTATTTGTTTATAAGTTCAAAGGGGCGGGTCTGTTACCTGAGTGCTGGACATATTCAATTTTCACAATATTAGTTCATGACCGCATGTTGCAGTAATATTCTCAGTTTGTTTTGTAACTATATTATATAACCTAACTTAGTGACATAAAAACCTTTAGACCAAAAGATAGACTAATCAAGTTTATTTGCTAATATGATCAAGGGCTGTGCTAGTAGAAATACTTCCACTTCCCAAATTATATAGGATTAAGGAGCTTTTAAAGAGGGATTGAGTCGTGGATATCTGGTAACTATAGAGAAGCAAGTCTGCAGCTAGTCTAGTGTTCTTGCACATGGCAAATTCAGGCAGAAGAATTAAAATCTGCGATGATCAACCTAGTGTTTTATTAATAGTCTTCTGAAACATGTTTGTAATGGGACCACTGGCAATTTGTCTATTGTTTTTGGAAATTAAAGCATTTGAAGAACTGACAAAGGAGCAAGACCATGATGCCGGAAAAGGAATAACAATTCAGTCTGCACTCTATATATCAGGTGTCGCTGTATAATCTTCAGTTTTCCAGAGCCATTATCATATTTGTAAGTAATAAACAAAAAATATAATACCTCACAAAAGTGTCTACCCGTAGTCCCTGAAATGGTACGAGGACTTTGTGATGGATTCTTGATAGCAGAACCATGCATCATGCCCTTTTGATGGCTGAGAAATTGATGGTCTACATGGCCAGTTCCATGCTGCAGAAAAGTGATATCAGCTCTAAACTAAAGGCGAAAAGCTATATACATTATAATGACAACAAACTGCCAAATTCTGAAAATAAAGACAATAATTACTTAACAGTGGCATGCAATGAAAAAGAACAATTCTCTAACAATACAACAATGCATAGATAATGAAGAATACAAATTACAATGATGCACATTTCACATAACAACAAGCATTGAAAACAGATCAATTGAAAATGCAAACATTTACAGGACAGTACAGATAATAAACAACACTTATAACATAAATCCAATCATCTTGACAGAAAAACCCTAGTCAAGTCATTTCTCCAATTATTACCAAGGACAATAATGAGTTCTGCAGTAGACCAAAAATCAATCATCAGTCAACTACACAACACTTATTTATTAGGCTTGAAATTAATTTCTTTTTCCTTTCATTTAAGGCCATGAATTACTCCAGTACCAATCTTTCCGTTCTTGCATAACGTCCCCCATTAGTTATCAATCATTTATTCATTGCTGGTTGCACTTAATGAACTTCAAACATTTAACACAACTCAACAACCAATAAAAGTTTTAACAAACTATCAAAAGTACTAATACCAGAGAGAGAGAGAGAGAGATGAAGGGAGGGAGGGAGTAAATCATTTCAATTTCAACAAAAAGCCTACTAAAAAGACTTTCATCACACAAAAAGGAACATGCCGAATAATGAAAATAATGGATTCACAGAAAGGTCGAACCTAAAACTTCAAAATTAAGCAACAACAAAATAAGGAAAAAAGATATGAGAAAAGACTTACTTTTAGTCCAAATTTAATTACAAATACGTCACCCCAATTTCACTTTATTATTTATTTTCAAAAACTTGCATAAAAAACAATAAAAAGTAAGATAAGAAAAGAAAATAAGAGTAAACAACCTATGCCCTAGTCAAGAATTTTCAAAGTCATAGTAGCAACTATAAAAGATGTTTTAAAAGATTCCTGATTGAATTACGATGTAAACGAGTGTAAATAATTTATGAAAACAAAAACAGTAAGCGGTAGAAAAAAATTCTGGAACTCAAAATTTCAATCAGAATCCGCAAATGCAAGTAAGAAAAACATAAGCTATTTTCTGAAATCAAATTTTCAACCAGAATCCGCAAATGCAAGTAAGAAAAAAAAAACATTTTCTAAAGCTCCAAAGTTCAATCAGAATCAGCAAATGCAAGTAAGAAAAAAACAAGAGAACGATCACAGAAAACAAAGAGGGTTTTACCTCAACAACTCCCAAACGATCTTCACCGATCTTTCTCAAACCCCTTCGCCTTCCGCCATCGCCCGCCGCCGTTTCCGGCAGCTGCAGCCGCCATAGTGCAGCAGCGAGCTTCCTCACCGACACGGCAGCGGGAGGCGGAAGTTCCTTTTCCCTGTCGAGCTCCTCGAGCGGATCACCGCCACCGCTGACGCCGCCGTGGATCTTCCACTTGGACAAGGGGGTTTCTGGCCTGCTCCGTTTTCCAGCCGAAGTTCCGGCGAGCCGCTTGAGGCGAGCTGGAGTTCGGGGATTCCGGCGGGATGGCCGGCGGTGCGGCTGGAGATCGGAGTCCGGTGAGGGAACTGCAATGGTCGACGGGAATGGGCGCGGGGCGCGGGTGGTCTCGCCGGAGATCTTCATCGGCGCCGACGAGTGTTGGCCATTAAATGAAGTGTTGTGGGAACTAACGCTTCAAAATAGAGAGAAAATGTGAGAGAGTAAGGGTTCGTTGAAGGTTTGGTGAAGATTTGTGAACTCTGAGAGAAAGAGAAAGAGAAAGAGAAAGAGGTTAATGTTTGTGTTATGTGTGATGAAAAGAAAAATCTGAAAGTATACTGAGAGAGTAAGAACAGAAATATACGGTATTGTGAGGGTCTTCGTGTATTTTTATACGGTCAACGTATCTCTGCTACACTCTACTTTACATGTCTCTCCAAATACTACTTTTGTACGATTTCTACTTCTTTTTGGTGAATGGTCATCTCAGTTTCTTCAGACTGTATTTTTTGTATTAATGATTAATAAAGTTTTTATTCCTTTGTTGGAGTTTATAAAATAATAGAAAAAAATCATAATAATATTTATTTGATATGAATTGAAAATTTTATTTTATTTTTTAAATATAAGGTTTCCTTTCTTTTTAAATAGGGTTTCCTTTATTTATTTCTTAAAATAT